CCAGACAATTAAAATTCTGCTGTTTGAATGCCAGCATATATCAGATTTATGGCATGTATTATAAACTCACTTTGGTTGTATTTAGATATGAAATTACTAATGTTGTCTGGTCAGACAAGTAAACCATTAAACAAAGATAGCACAGAGTAACCAGAGAAGAGTTGGAGAGCATTGTCCTCTTGGACCAAATAACACTCGCACTTCCCACTACAAAATGAGAAGGTGGGAAATCAAGTGGTGGGAAGACAAAAGGGACACACAGCTCCTTTTTTTTCGGACACACTACAGTAGACTCAGATACATCACTTAATAAACCTAATGTAGACTAATCAGGAGCAGCCAAGCTGCTCACAGCTTTAAGCAGTGAGTACCATGAATGATAAGACTTTGGTTGTTCAAATGGACTTTGCTTTTGGAACCACAAATTGTTGATATGTGTCCATCCAGCTCTCCCGCTGCTATCATCGAAAGCCTGAGACCAAACCTGTGGGGTTTCTGTGCAACAGAGCTGTCAGAAGGCTATAAATATTGTGGCAGACAGGGAGAATGAAATGGTAAAGACCATCTTTGCCAAGTTTAGATTTTCTCTCTGAAGACTCCTATAATACTGAATCTAATCCCTGTTTCTCTTAGACATAAGTCCTGTTTATCTGGTTTCTCCCTCCTGCTACAGCCCTTCACCAGGTTAACCATCCCACATTGAGCTTTATGTAGCCCATTTGGGAAAATGAAATAGTGTGCAGTAGATGCATAAATAAGCAGTCTGTGTACTGACTGCTTCAGCATCTCCTCTCCCGCCACACTAAGAAGAGGAAAACTCTTTGGGGCATCTAATTGAGGGGAATCATGAAGCCAAAAAAAAAGGAGGTGGAAATTTGCAGCTGCAGAGAATGGAGGATAACATCTACAACTACCTACTCATTGTTGCACAGCTTCCACTGAGTATTAGAGGATTCAGATGCTGTGAAACACTTCATGCAAACAGCCTTTTAGATCCTGCTATAAGCACCAATTTTCTGGTCAAATCAGCTTTATTTGTGATCAAAAGAATTCCTTTCTTAAACATTAAATCCTGGGCACTGTCCTCTGAAATATGGGTTGTTTTTGTCGCTTTTGCACCAGCAAACCGTACAACTGTGTGCTGATTAAAATTCATAAAGCAAACTCTGTGAGTTTTTCTTGAATTAGTTGGCTTTGGACTCAAAGGACTCATTAACTTCCTGTGCTAGGAGATATCCTGGTCTTTTATAAATCTTTATGAGGCTTTTGGGAAAATATGTGTTTTGTGACTCAAAGCGCCTTCCTTCCTCAGGACAAGAAGAAGATAGCAGTGCATATTTTCCTGCTGAGAGAATCCTTCTGAAATGTCACATGTGCTGTGCATGTGTTATCTTGTTGACTTAATTGCTGACTTCTGAGTACCATATTATGTAATTTAAGCAACAAAAAAATGAAATCAATAATTGAAACACACATGTTTGCCTATCAGTTTAATAAAGGTAAAGCAAGTGTATTTGTATAGAACAACACGGTGCAAAGACAATTCATAGTGCTTTATATAAATTAAACATTAAAATAGAAGGAAAATAAAAGTAGAATAAAAGCAAGTAAACATAAAAACACAAGAAAAACAAATAGAATAGTTGGACCACAACCTTAAATTAATTATACCTCAGTGAACAGTTGTAGCTCTAATCAAATGGGTTTTTAACTTTAACAGAAATGAACACTGCAAACATTTCTACCGTGAATTTACAGTAAATATTTGGATATGTTTTGCATGACTTTCATTGTAAGGGTTAGAGAGCAGTATACTGTGAATCATACAACTTACTGTAACTTTATAGATTACAATACATTGTTGTGAAAGACCCCATCCCACACAATCACAATCATCTTAAATGCAGAGGAATTGTGCAGAAGCTGGTTCTTCAACAACATGTGTACATCAGCAATTCAAAACTGAGACTGAGAAATACTGCTGCTGCAAAGAACTAGGATGTCCACTCAAAGTCAAGTTTTCTCAAAAGGGTGCTGACATGGGGGTTAGTTGTTGCCCGCTTCTTGCCCTTTGAGCCTCTTTCAGGACTGATGCCCAGGAAGCACCTGTTAATAAAGCAAAGATGGTTTTAGTTTAAATAAACGTATCTTCTGCAGGCAGCATTTATCAAGATGTTCGCCTGTGCTTTTTTCTCCTTATCACACCCTAATAGATTTATAATCCGAACTTGTGGGATCTTCCTCTCATAAATGTTCACCACAAATTACTTTAGCCATTTCTATTCAGGGTGTCTTATGTAAGATTTGCCTGAGGCAAAGGTTTTATACTGTGAGGGTCCATAGCAGTATGCACTGCCACTTAAATTAGTCTTCACGGAATTGGCCTGTGGGTAAATTAGACCAAACCCTGTTGTAAGTATGATGAACCACAGGTTGGGTGGGAGAGAGAAAGAAAGAAAGAGAAAAAAAGTTGCAACGACCACCACTGACATTTTAAAAACTAATCCCTGGGACATTATATATCTCAGATATGTTTATATTTATATCTATCTGTGTGTAATGAAAAAGTGTCTTTTGATAATTAAAAAAAAAGAGTATATGCAAATTTGGCACCACTCATGTTGACAAGTATTTCAGATTTTATGGAAATGTGTTCATACTGAAGCAGCTGAGTTGTAAACAACCAGTGAGAGATTATTTCACCTCATTTACCCCACTCTTCACAACATTTTGGCAGAGAATACACCTGTTACAGCGAGACGCACGCTAAAGTATTTACAGGGAAGCTACAGAGAGGAGGCCTGAACATGGAAGCAAAATTTTGGCTGCATACACTATGCACGTGCAAGAATATTGTGCTCGGCATTGCGCAGAATCATAGTCCATCAAAAAGTGACCAACTGGAGTTAATTGCATTGTCAGCTATATGGCTATCAGCCGTTGCTTGTGCAAAGCCCTGCGTAAAGCTTTCAGCAGTTTAACAGTCTACTGGAAGTTGGTTCCAGACAAGTGGAGCATAGGAACTTAATGCTGATTCTCCATGTTTGGTTCTAGTTTTGGGTGTACACAGAAGGCTTGAACTAGAAGACCTGAGTTGTCTGAGAGGTTGATACACTGACAAGAAATCTGCTATTTATTTTGGCACTGATTCATTCAGTGATTTATAGACAAACTTTATAGACCAAGAGGATTTTAAAGTCTATTCTCTGTGCAAGATAAATTCTTTGTGGGGTAAATACAATCAGACTTTAAAAAAAAAACAAAGTTCTGCATGATTATTAAATCATTATTTATTTAAAATCAGCAGAAAATGCAGCTACACATTAGTTAACAAAATTAAGTTGGAAAATAGACAGTAAAATTGCAAGTGAAACCGTCTAAATGACCATAAGTGACCAAAAACAATAAAGATAAACCACAAAAATATTAACACTAAGCACTTTTGTACATTATTGTACAAAGTTGTGAAAAATATCTGCCTCATTAGCGCTGTCTTTTGTTTACTTTTTTGTTCAGATTTGACGTTTCAGATAATTATCTATGCTAGAATCTGTGTTAGCCAGGATATCATTTTCCACCTGAAGCTTGGACACCAATGGGTCTACAGTAGATAATGACTTGATACCAAATCACTGCCACAGTACCCAAAATGTTTGATCAAAGTGATCAAGGGAGAAAGCAGTTATAGTAGCCTACTGTTGACATGTACTAAAAGAGAGTAAAAACAGGTCTCTAGAGTATTATCCTCGCATTTAACAAACAACTAAAATTATTTGAATTTTCTGTTATTCTTAGTATGATGCCATGGCAGAACTCTTTTTTTTCCCAGATATCTTTTTCAAGGTTGCAGGATATTTAATCAGAGGTGGGTAGTAATTTAAATTTAATGTTACACATTGTTTAAGTAGCATTTTGGAAAAAATATTACTTTAAGGAATAGTTTTACTGTGCTGTATTTCTTACTTTTAATTGTACGTATGCAATATTCTTGTGAAGTATCTATATTTACTCGAGAAAGATTTCTGGGTACTCTGTCCATGTTGATAATTTGAGAGATTCGAAGATCAGGTTAATATACAATAAACAGTAGAAGGTGTCATTGGAAGTTTTTTACGCCATCAAAACAATTTTTCCCTGGATTGTTTTTACATTAAAAAAAGTGTTTTATAGGCGTGAATTTGTTATTTTGTAATCATGTTTTTTAATTTAATTTTGTTTTCTTTAATGAATTTTAATCTTGAAAATGCAAGAACCAGTAAATTAAGTCTGTCTGACCGCACCATTTCTAAACATTATGATATAACAATTAGGCCTACTTGGTACTATAGCCTTTACCAAATAATTATTTTACTTTTATATATTGCTTTAAATTAAATGCTACTTTTTACATTTGCTTAAGTAAAAAAATTTTGAAGTCATGCTACTCTTACTTGAGTAAGACATTTTGGGGACGCTACTCACCTCTGTATTTCATGCACAGAAGGTTAAAACCTTGTTTTCTCTTGAATTATCTTAATCCACGTTTGAAAAGGAGAATCCTCCATCCACAACCTGGATATATATTTTTTTTATTTCAAATGACAAAAATACATAAAGCGATAAATACAGAGATAAAATCGTACGTTTGTTTTTTCATAATAATGGCAAAAGTTGTTTGTGTACTTTTTTTATTTTAACAGCATCGGTTAGAAATGATTTGAATATCGTCTTATAATAAGAATAAGTCTTTCTTTTTCTTTTTCTTTTTGTAGCACAATTGTGTTTACTTGCATAAATGCTGGAATATCTGAGTTGCTGGTTACATAATTACACACATATATACCCTAACTAGTAAACTGTTATATTTTAATGCGAATTTGTTTGTAAAATGTAATTCGCTCAAACCTGCATTTGATTGGAGAAACGGGTTGGAGGACATGACGTCATTCTTAATTAACAGTGGCTGATTACCCGCAGGTGAGTCAGACAGGGTCTCATTGTGGAGGCTTAGAGGAGGAGAGTCAAGCATATACTGAGATGGCTGGTAGAATAGCTACTTTGATTAAATCAACCTCACTGTAAGAAAGTTTAGTTTTCTTAGGGGGTTCGCTTCGCCTCCTTTCTACAGTGAAAATGGCAGAAAGAACTCCTTTACTACATTACCGACTGACCAGCTCCGCAGCAGGGGATGTGGCTGAAGCGGTCGGGGTGCAGTTGGTTAAACCAGCGCCACGGTCCGGCTCCCCAAAGCTTGGAGTGATGTTTGGAGTTGTCATCCCCACTTTACTGTCTATGTTTAGCGTCGTGGTTTTCCTGCGAATTGGTGAGTCTCTAACAGCAAATTACAACAGAAAATTAGGGCCACTGAAAACCAATAAAAAGTGAATTGATTTTTAAGTATTTTTTGCCTGCGAATTGACACTGAAATAACTAAATTCAATTACTAAATCTCCCATTTAGTCTGGTTTATCAGGCAAATATTTTGGGTGTTTTCCGAGATACCTGAATGTACAAAGTCAACATTAATACTTGTAGAGTGTCTGGTTGCAAATGGGTCAAATATGACCACAAAATTACAGCCTTCATTCTGTTGTTTCCTATCATTTTCAGAAATTGGGTTAAACAATTAAGAATTATGAGAAAGGGACCTCCACAACAAATGTATTTCTATAATGCTTTTTATTCAGAACAGTCGACACATTCTGTATGAACTCAAAGGATTATTGGTTATTTTCAGCTTTGATGATTTGTCTTTGACATATCTTTTTTTAACCTTCCTTTTCTACATAATCATTGGGATTGTAGGTTTATGAAAGACTGCTGGGAGATGCAGAAATGTCTACAATTTAACTTTAAAAGTATATATACTTTACAAATGTTTTTAAACCAGCTATTCAATTTATGCTTTGAACGAATTGTAAGACTTTTAATTTCTACAGGATTTGTTGTGGGTCAGGCAGGACTATACCAGTCCATCACCATGTTCCTGGTGGCCTACTTTATCATCACAATGACTGTTCTCTCCATTTGTGCCATTTCCACTAATGGGGCTTTAGAGGCCGGTGGGGCCTACTGTATCCTTTTTATTACCCAGAGTTGAAGGCTGTGGTTCTAAAAAAAAAAAAAAAAGACGTGCACCTTTTGCTCTGTTTTTCTAATTTGTTTCCCTCTTCCGTCAGGTTTGAATTATGATTTTTTTTTTCTTTTTAAATGTGAGTTTTGCATTTTTTTTTGTGTGTGTGAACAAAGACAATTTCCTTTATCTTATTTCCAGACATGATTAGTCGAGCCCTGGGTCCTGAATTCGGTGGCAGTATTGGCATCATGTTTTTTCTTGCCAATGTCTGCGGATGTGCTCTGTATATTTTGGGCTTGGTAGAGGCCATCATGTCTACCTTTGGAGTGCCAGGAGGTAAAGGTTATAAAACATATGTTCTGACCTGTTAAACATACTAAAGCTTTTTCTCACTGTTTCCCAGAGAGTACAGCGGCTTTAGCAGCTCTTCATCAGAAGTTGCCTTCAGGATACTGGTGGTGCTTGTTGTATGGCACTATCCTCCTATTTCTGTGTTTTGTAGTCTGTTTGGTAAGATTTTTGTTTCCAGTTTTCTTTATGCCAATTGTATGTATTTCATTCTGTTTTTATAACTGATCTAATATTTCCAACAAGATCCCATTCAAAATGTTTGGGCTGCAGATAGATAAATGTTTATGCAAGGAAAGTCCTGTATTTAAATGGGAATATATTTTTCTATTGTCTTGTAAAACTGTTTATATATCTTTAACTTTTTCTATTTTAGCCATGGGACTTTAATAAGGAAAATGTATTTTATTGGGATTCATGTAATGAGGCCGATTCACCGCAGCAGCTCACATTCATGAGGTGGCAAAAATGGCTGAATTGTAATATTTCAAGATGGGGAGTAATATTTTAAGGGGGGTGTTGGCTTAGTGGTTAGAGCAGTGCGCTTGTGCTCTGCGAAAGTTGCAAGTACCCCGTTCGATTCCCACAACCTCCACTCTTGACCCTTGATTGCTCCTGGGTGCTGTACAATGGCAGCCCACTGCTCCCCAAGGGGTTGGGTTAAATGCCGAGGCGAATTTCTCCAATATGAGCTCAAAGTTGCATTTGAAGGGATTGGCAGCCTAGTGGTTAGGGCATTGTTTGGAATCCAGAGGTTCTGAGTTCAAGCCCCACTCCAACAGACTGCCACTCTGGCTCTTTGAGCAAGACCCTTAACCCCACATTGCTCCCTGGGTGCCACCCAATGGCAGCCCACTGCTCCCCAATGGGATGGAACAAATACAGAGTGAATTTCATTGCTCTGTAGTTGTGACAGTGTAATGACAATAAAATGTTGGTGAGGGGGGGGGTGAGAGATCTTACAGGTTCATCTCGTGAATACCTAGAAGTATCAGCTTAAGGCTTCCTCTATCAAAGTAAATCCCAATAAAGTAAACTTGTGGAGAAATAACAAATATCAATTTTGTGAACCCATAAAACCAGAAGCACACGCATAACAATTTCAGTTTTAGAAAACAATACTACCACATAGGGGGGGCACAGGGGGTGCATAGAGGGCCCTCTAATGGCCAGTCTACAGTTTTGAATGGAAAAGCTGTATTACATTTTTTAAAGGGAAGTTTTCACATCTTTAAGCAAATTGCCATGCAGGGATGCATCACGTGTGTTAAGGGAGTTTTACAGGCACATTTATGATAAATGCACAGCTCAGCAGCTAAGCCGGCATTGTTGCTGAATTCAACTTGTTTTTACAGGTGGGAGCCCACATTTATGCCAAAGCTACTTTCATTATCTTTATCATCGTCCTGACCGTTCTGGTTTCCATCCTGATCAGTTTTTTCATTGTGAAGCCCACTGCCGTGATCCTTCCAGAAACCTCTCTAAGCAACAATAACAGCAGAAGGACTGCTAACTATACTGGCCTCTGGCTCCATACATTGAAGAACAACCTATTCTGTAAGTTTCCAACAGGTTTACAAACTTCTTTTCATGGATGAACCAATAATCAGTTCAATTATGTTTCTTTTGGTAATTTCTGACCTCTGAATCTCTAAATAATCAGGCCCTCTGTCTGCTCCCTCAAGCTAATTACACAGTTGATTACACCACTGGTGCCATGATGAGTTTTGCCCGCGTGTTTGCAGTCATGTTCAACGGGTGCACTGGAATCATGGCAGGCTCCAACATGTCAGGTATATTGGCGTTAAAGTGCAGAAACCAAAGCTAATACTCATCTTTTTTTTCTGTTATGAACACTTTATAGAGCTAAATGATGGTAACTATAATTGTTTGTGCAGCCATTTTGAGTACAACTCTTAATTTTTACAATCCAAAACATCTCGATCTGCTGAAAATGTTTATCACTACTGATTGACTTGTAGGCAAGTGATTTCATTCCAAGTGTTGAGAAATTAAATGCGCTCCCCGCTCAATATTTGGAGAGAAATTACTTGTGGTTCTCTGACTACTACCTATTAATCAATTAAATGGGACCATATCTACTCATGAAGTGAGCTGCAAATTGTTGGGGGGAGACTGGAAGTCTCACTAAAGTGCTCAATCTAAGACTTATTGCTCCCATTTCAACAATTACCTAAAGCCTTATTCTATCTTATATTGGGTCAGGATGAGAATAATGGCCAATCTTGGACTACTTTTATATGGACCCAGATGCATCTGCTGTGCTCCAGTAAACTTCCAGATCATATTCCATAAATTTTTGGGTACAATTAATGGCAAACCATCAATAGAATCCACATGTTGTACTTTCTTTTTCCCCAGTATTTGTATTAACTACACGTTCAAGGCTTGTTCTTTAAAGATGTGCTTTAATTTTATGTACAGATCTTTAAACTCTCTCCCTTTGGTTTCCCTTATGGGCGACACAATCCCTCTGCCATTATTATGTTAGAAATTCTGCAATTAGATTTTAAATAATACCTTTAAAAATATAAAACTTTGGGGAAAAAAACATCAATAAGGAGAGACTACGAACTTAATTTTATCTGTACAGTACCATTTGTGCAGAAATGTATCTGGACAAGTATGACACTTTTTATAGACCTGCTTTAATTGGTCTAAATATCAGTTAAGATGTATTAAAAAGGGAAATGTTGCGAAATATTGATTTTAAAGTTTCTTTGTGTTACTAGGTGATCTTAAAAACCCCAGCTACTCCATTCCAAGAGGAACGCTTGCAGCTGTTTTCACAACCTTCATTGCATACAATCTGCTGAGTCTGCTGGCTGCAGGATCCTGTGACCGGTTTAAGAATCCACACAAATCTCCAGAATGTTTCTAAAACTTGAATAGTTTCTGTCTTTTTATGGGAACTTTTTTTCCCCCCAGGTGAGATAATGTGACTTTCAATTTTTGTTGGATTATTTGTAGTTCCCTTCTTCAGAACGATTACAGCTTTCTGGGAGACATCAATGTATGGCCTCCTATGGTGACGGTAGGGATCTACTCCTCCGCTATGTCTGCTGCAATGAGTAACCTTATAGGAGCCTCCAGGATCCTGTATGCTCTGGCCAAAGATAACTTGCTGGGTAAGAATATAAAGCAAGCTCTTCTGCTCATTGCTTGCAGTCTTTTAATCTTAAGCTTTGGCCCTCAAACTGCTTAGTTTTTACACAGCACACAATATTAATAACCAGTAACTGTTAAAGATTTATCTACAATATTTGTGGATTATGAGAATCAGTCTTCTGTAGAAATGAAATGGTTTAAAAATTTTGTTTTTGATGCAGGGTGATTCTATTTGGAACAAGGATTTAATTATTCATTGATCATTTAGTTTCTTGGTCTGTAGTTTACATGTAATTAAGCTTTTCATCTGTAAAGCTTGTCTAAACATTTTAATACCATCCATCTGTTTAAAATTGGCCTCGTTCCTCATTGTGACAAAATGTCACTTGTTACTGATTTTCATGGTGGAGGCATTTTAATCTAGAAGGCGTCGTTTGTCAACAGATGGCTTGCTCGGTTCACTTTCTCTGAAGAAAAAAGCCCTTTTTATTGTGTGTTCAGCTTCACGAGGGGAGGATGACTCAGTTGTTTTTGATTTTGGATGATGAGCAATGCGAGAGATTTTCCTAATGTTCCACTTTTGTACAGGTGGTGTCCTGGCACCAGCAAGGAGAACATCTCAAAGTGGGAACCCCTGGGTTTCTGTACTCATCTCCTGGTTGCTCGTGCAGGTAACTGTATTTTTCTTTCTCATAACATTATGGTTTATGGATACATTCTATTTAACCCTTTTTGTGTCGCCCTAAAAGAGGTGGGCAACTCCACTCTACAAGGGCCAGTGTCATCCAGGTTTCAGACTTGGGATGAGAATTTTTGAATTATTTCCCAGCTTTATCAAAAAGATCTTACTTGGTTTCCAAGTCATCTAAAAACTGGACCTTCCTAACTTTAGAAAAATATTGCACATAACAAACCATGTTTGTTGGCTTGTCACCTCATGACTGAATCGTTGTCTTTCTTTCCTAGTTACCTCCACTTTGTTATAATACTGATTAAAAATTGGCCTCATAATATTCAGTAGCAAGGACATGACTGGAGCAGTTGTTTGTAGTAATATATCATAACACTATTTTGGAAATTTGCCCCTAAAGTGGGCCATTCTCTAAAAAAGGGCTGTAGAAATGGTCTGCATGTGTCTGTGCTGGATTTTATACACTCAGCCATGGAAGTGATTGGAACGCATGAGTTTGGGTAACTGTGCTTTTAGCAACATACTGTATGTCATAATTATGTAAGTAAACCTTTTTTAACATTAATAACATGAATCTTAACATAAATCAACAATGAATGTGCTTTAAGAATAGCATCTGGTCAATAAAAAACATTTATTTAGCTAATTGCTTATGTAGGAGAGTGAAAACAACTGTATTTGATATATTGTAACTGACATACTATGTATTTAATTAAAGTGGAATTCACATCCATCCATCTTAACATGTGCAGTTTGCATTTTGCCAATCATTTAACCATTGCAGACAAGGTTTAAACTTCTGTGTTTTATCACTACTTTAGTGAATAAAGAAGGCAAATAGTTTAAAGGTTTTCAACAGGTCAGATAAATAAAATCCTTTACAGGGTATCTACACACTTTTTATTTCATTCTAATTCTTCCAAATCTATATTTTGAGAATCATTACTTTCCTTTTAGGACATTTTGATTGTAGGCCTATTTATTTTCAACTGCAGATTACACTTTAAAGTGCTAATTCTTGTGCTGCTTCTTGAGAGCATTCCTAAAGATGAATCTGCTCAGAATTTTAAATGGATGGATTCCATAAATATTTTTCATGTACTTTATTTTCTTTCTGGAGTTTTTGCTTTGCTTTCCTGAGCAATTGTGATGGTTAATGCATGTATTAAAGTTATGTGTTCATTCCTCTAGGTGGTGCTGTTTGCTGGCAAATTGAATACCATAGCTGGGATTGTAACAATCTTCTTTTTGTTGGTGTATGCTGCTGTTAACCTGGCCTGTTTGGCCCTTGAATGGGCGTCAGCACCAAATTTCAGGTATATTCTACTGAAAGCAGCAGTGATTTACTTGTTTTGGGGGCTAAATTTAGGAACAGTTTTTGTACAAACATTGTTTTTGTTTTTTAGACCATCTTTTCGTTGTTTCACATGGCACACCTGTACTCTTGGCATCTTTGGCTGCCTGGTTATGATGTTCTTGATCAGCTCCATTAATGCTTTTGCCAGCATTGCATTTATGCTGCTCCTCTGGTTGCTCATACACTACCTTGGACCCATCAGCAACTGGGGCTACATTAGTCAAGCTCTTATCTTCCACCAGGTATAGTAACTTTCCTTTGTGACTCTAAATCAAAGGTTTATACTATAAATCAATGCAGTAACACAACCCTGAAATGCATCGATGTTAGTGGCTATTGTGTGGAAAAATGTGAAGGGGTTCAAGAACTGCCATACCATTTAAATGACTCTTTAAATATTTGACAGAATGATAAAAAAGAAAATGTTTTGTTCTTAGGTGCGCAAGTATTTGCTGCTGCTCGATGTGCGGAAGGACCATGTAAAGTTCTGGAGGCCACAGGTGTTGTTGATGATCGCAAATCCTCGCACCTGCATAAGTCTCATGACTTTCATCAATGACCTAAAGAAAAGTGGCCTGTACGTTCTGGGACATGTAAAGCTTGGGATGCTTGGTAAGTGAAAGGAAACAATTTCTTGTTTATCAAAGAGCCGCTGCAGTTTTTAGAAAGGATCTTTGCCACCAGCAAGAATGTCAAATTTACTTGCCATAAGCTATGTTGTCACTCTATTTTGGAATGGTGTTTATTTTATTGTTTGAATTCACAGCAGTAAACTCAACTAATCTTACTACCAATTTAGCTTTACAAAAAATATAAATAAGAGATGGAAAATCTATATATTGGAAGTCATAAATCTGAAGTGTACACGTTTCAATATCAGAGCTTTTCTGTTCCAACGCATTTTTAGAGCATGATGCCAAACGTTTTTTTTTGTTTGTTTTTTTTTGAACATGTCAATTTTCAGGACGTTTTATATTCTCAATACGTTTAAAGCCTACAAGATTCATTTACTGACAGCTATCCTTGGAGAACTAAACTCAGGCCTCAAAAATGCTTAAAACATCACGACTCATTCTGTAGCTCTTTAGAGTACACTTATTTTAAGTAGAAAATTTTAGTTGGTGCGATGCATCATTTTAATCTTTTTATTTTTTTTCTACCCATTAGTACAAAGAATTTAAATGTGTAGGGAATAAAACATTTTTACAAAATTTTTTTCTGTCGCAACCTAATTGTAGAAATATGCAGAATTTTAAAAGGCAAGTTTGACATACAAGAAAAAAAAAATTCTTGAAATAGGCCATTGAGAAGAAACTTGTTTTTTAGGTACCACCACAAAAAGGGCCTTTTTTTAAGATATATTACTAATATTTAAGATAAATGATCATAAAAAAAATGTTTGAGCCAGATCAGTTCTAATACTGCTGTCTGACTTAATTTCTGGGGACAAAAATATGTCTTTTGTCACAACTTGAGTCAAAAATATGCTAGGATGAAAAATATGCAGGTTTGAAAGCAGCACCTGTCCATCTTTTGGGTCTTGCCGTACCCACATTTTTTTGCGAATGTCAGAAAACTACATTTAAGTCCACAGCTGCAAAAAACATACTTGGCTACTTCATTATGTCACTGCATTGATATTTATAAATGTACCACATTCAAACTTTAGCTAACAATGTAGCCACCATACCTAAAACATGATTATTTTAGTTGTCGGTCAGATTAAATGCATACAACCATTCCCAGGATTAAATACAGTGCGTGTCATTATGTATTCTTTTTTGTGTCTTTGATTGTGCAGATGGTTTGCCAGCTGATCCCCTGCAGAGCTGTTATGATTCATGGCTGTCCTTAGTGGATCATTTAAAAATCAAGGCATTTGTAAACCTAACCCTGGCTGACTCTGTTCGGCATGGAGTTCAGAATTTGCTCTTCATCTCAGGCTTTGGTAGGATCACTTGACCTTTGGTTTGAAGTATTTTAAATCTTGTTTATCATTATGTTAATATATCTACTGGTTTTAGGTGGGATGAGGCCAAACACTCTTGTTTTGGGCTTTTATGATGATTGCACACCTGAAGATTGCCTCACCAGTCAAATATCTCCATCTGTAAACTGTGGCTCTGAGGTTTGTTCGACTGCAGACTCTGGGCAGCAAAGCTCCTTATTTTTTCCAAGTGTCCGCAGGCCTGAAGATCCGAAGTACCTTCAGGAAGAGGAATATGTGTCCATTATTGCAGATGCTGTTAAAATGGGGAAGAACGTGGCTCTTGCACGTTATTTTAATCAGTTCAGCCGGGAGGAAGTCTTGGGCTACCAAAGCTCCGGGGGACCATTTGTAGACTTGTGGCCCCTTAACCTACTTCATCCAGACAGCCATGGATATGTGAATGTCTGCTCCCTGTTCTTGCTACAGCTAGCTTGCGTCCTTCGTGAAACCCGGGCCTGGAACCAGGCAAAACTTCGCCTCTTCCTGTGCGTGGAAGCAGGCTGTACGCTGCCAGAAGATGAGGAGAGGAAGCTCCAGAAGATGCTGATGGAACTTAGGATATCGGCTCAGGTCCACACGGTGGTTTGGGACCAGGTGGTGGCCATGCACTGGCAGAGACAAGGAGGGAGGGGAGGAGAGGGAGACGGTCCACTGAATGATGAGGCGAGGTTGAAACCAGAAGGGGACCAGGATGGTGATCAAAGGTTCCCAAGTAACACCTCTCATTTAACAAATGAATATATCTGTGCCGTCAATAATCTGATTCATGGCCATGGCTCCCCTAGGCCAGCTGTGCGTTTCTTGTATTTGCCCCACCCACCAGCAGATGCTAGCCGTTATCATGCTTACCTTTATCAACTAGATCTGTTGAGTCGGGACCTTGGCCCAACGCTGCTCATCCATGGAATCACTCCTGTTGTCACTACAGACCTCTAGAAGTTTTTATCAGCATTGCTATAAAGTTAAATAAAGTCAAATAATTTTAAGATCATGGGAAAGATTACGTTATACAGCATTTCTTAGATTAAGCCTGATTTTAATTTTAAAAATTTCTTTGACTATGAAAACATTGTGCACTTTCCTTTTTTTTTTTTTTTTAAACTGAGCAAAGATCTGGGTGTGTTCCTGTGCATCTATATATGATTTAGTATTGTTTGGCCTTTGTTTAGATTTTTTTTTTCATTAGGATGTGGGCTTGGTGAATATTTGACCTTTTGTACTTGTTGAATATTAAAATAAATTCACAAAGCTCTGATTTTTATTGTATTCGAGTGCCATAGCCTTGGTTATAAGTAATCACTAACTGAAACAAGCCCTTTCCTTTTCTCCTTCTTAAAATAAGCACTTATTACTACCACATATCTGATGTATTCCTAGTCCTTTAAATGTTTGTCTTTAATAGGGTTAAAAAATGACAATAGCAACTTTTTTTAAGGTCTACAAAAAGTGTTTGTGCTTGGATTTTCTTATTTTTCAACTAAAGTTGGGTTTTAAACTTGTGAACTCAGAGGTTATCAAGCAGCCTTGAACACTGCATCCATCAAAAAAGGCTGCTTCACACAAAAACATGGTGGTAGTCCAAATATGAACTATTGGCAAAAAAAAAAAAAAAATCTAAACTTGTACAAAAATAATGTACTTAAGCAATTTTGTGGTTGCCAAATTGTTGACAAAATGGCTCTAAACAAATTAATATTGCACAGAATTTTTTATTTTCAGTATTGCATTACATTTCAGACTAAGACCTGCTTTTCTTTAAGGAATTTTGAATCTTTATTTTTAGCCAAGACCATTAGGAGGCATAAGGTTCAAAGAGTCCCTTGTGGCTCCAGGTTGCAGACCCAAGGTTTTAATGTGCTATAGCTGCTATAGTATGTGCTTGTGTCGGGCTGAAAACATTTGCACTTACAAAAACAATTCAGGTGTAAAGTCCTGCACTCATTGCTTTACCATGATTTTATTGTGTGAGTGGAGTTGACCTCACATGACAAATATTGGTAAGTTAATAGTGGGTGATAAAGGTATTTTGCCACCTGATTAAGCAGAGGCATTGGCGGCAAATGGCATATTTGCTTTGACGTAATTTCCATGAGTTCATTCTGGCTGAACACAGTCGCCCACCTACACAATTCTGATAAGCAGCATGTGGGAGTATATTCCCAGATGGAGGCAGGTTTGCTCCATTGAAGAAAAATGGGCATCAAAGATGCTAACTGCATCATGTATGCTTGGATTTTCCTCTGTGGCTTGTGATTAACTTTATTTGGACATAGCAAATGTGCAGCTGTTCACACTCAGCCTGTGATTGCTCAGTTTGGATGGATGACTGTGGGCTCTCTCTACCTCCTAAACCAACATGAGAGAGGAGGAAGAACTGACTCACTTCCGCATGATGGAGAGATTTACAGATTAGGGAAAAGCACTCTAAACCTTGAACGTGATATTCTGATCTGCTCAGTAGGTGGCTTTTTTTTTTATCACTTAAGTTTCTTTTCAGAAAATGAAAAATCAGCTATATCAGGCATTCAGAGAGAAATTTGAAAAGTGAAATACTGAATTTGCTTTCTCTTTAAATAAATTCTATGTGATCATCTAGAATATTTTTATTAGTATGAAGTCAATTGATAAGACTTTTGATAGAAAAGAAAAACGACTCCAGTAATCCTTAAAGGCAGATCAAAGCAATTTAGTTTACAAATGACTTTATTGGTTAAGTTATTGAATAAAAAGTACGGCTCTCAAGACAACTCTTCAGTTATCGAAGTCTCATGGAGCGAGAGATGTCCCTTTCTTGTTTTGGCAAGAAGCTTGGCTTGCATATAGCGAGGCTAACACTTTATTCTGCTTTCCTGCCTCCTCTTTCAAACGTCAGGATCTGACCCAGCATTGATAAAGACAGGTAGGACTGATTTAAAAGTTTTTTTTGTTGTTTTTTAAAGAAAAGTCAAAGAAGCTTAAATCTGGGATTCACATGGAATATAATATAGATGTTTGTTAATTTGCTCTTAAATATTCTCAGAAAATTAATAGTGTTTATATATTGAAAAAATATAAAGCTGACTAATAGCTACCCCGTTATTAAACTGGCACTTTTTTTGGGTTAGTGAAACAATATTGGACCATGCAAAACACACATATATATATAAACTGTTTTTATGTATGTTCTTGTTGGCATTCATATAAATCTAATGGTGAGATAACCTAGTATACGTTTGATTGTTTTTGGTCTAAAACTCTAACAGCCGCCTCTGATCCTATTACCAATTCAGTTAGCATAGGGACCTCCTAACATTCCTTGCCACCATTAGGAACTATATGGTTGCCCCTAATCTTTTGCATTACAGAAGATATACCCGGTACACAGATTACCTCATGGAGTTGAACAAAAATACATTTTCCTTCATGAGTGGTGCGTTACACATGCTGATCTTCAAATTTTGGGCTTTATTGAAATGCAGAGCTTTAGCCTGCATTTGTGTACCTTTGTATGTTTTATTATTTTTGTTGTCTTTTGTAGCCTTTTTGTCATTTTTTTTCCAAAGGCTGTAGTCCAAATTTGATAAGGATCCTTCATGTCCATCACGTACAAAAGTCTGTGATGCTGAAGGCTGTCTGGATTCAACACAGCAATCCAGAGCTCCCTTTCTACCCTGAATAGTGTTTTTACTGTTGACCCAACGAAAGGTAAAAGGATAGGAGCTAGGAAAAGGAAGTAGGAGCCGTGAATAATCAGAAGTTTAGAAATGCAGTTGTAACCATTGCTTTTAGTATGTTTTACAATATTAAGAGTTTTTGAAGGATTTTTTTTTGTTTTTGGTTTCTTTTTTTAGCCTTGTTATGGCTTAGAAATCATGCAAATTGAACCTAAAAAACAGGTCCACCCCTGTTTGCCCGTTGTTGGCCTGCAATACCCGATACTGGCCTATGCCTCTGAAAATGGAGTTGTTAGGGTAATTGCTAACCTGGCTGACCATGCCAAGATGTTTTGGTCCCCTGCATAGCGATGGGGGTTGAGATGATAGCAGGAAGAAATGAACTCTATCACTGGATTTTTGAGAGCTCCGAGGGGTGGTCCTGCCTGGTCAGCCAGGCCAACAACGACCTCAACAACTCTCCATTACTAAGGGGTGGACCTGTTTTTTCGGTTCAATTGGCATGTTTTCTAAAGGGCTGGTTATACCAGCCCTTTGTGTCGTAGTGAGTTTGTAGCAGATATTTTTAATTTATGCCTAATATTGATGCGTGGTCTAGGCCATTTTATTCCACGCCACAATGCAAGATGGAAAATCACGAACTAGCTGTGGGTCTAGATACGGCTGAGGTGGTGAGGAAGTGGGGGCAAGTTTGTCAGACAATGGAGGGAAATGTGGGCACAAAAGAGCAGGGATCCAGGGGGAAAAATGGTCCCAGCGTGCTCACGCACCTCGCTCTTCTAGCTGGTCCATCTTCACGAGTCATTTTCCACAATTTCGGTCATACAAACAAAAGAAGCCGGTAAAGGTACCAATCAGGATATACGGATAGTGTAGAGCAGATGTAGATTTGACTAATCATTGGCCTCCTGTCTGCGGCACAGTCTGCTGTCACCTACAATATTGGATAGGTGCAACACAGTGTCTGCGGCAGGGACGGAGGCACATTTGCATTCACTGCAACACACACGCAGACAACCTGGTTTCTGAGTATAAATCAGCCTTAAGTCAGGACAAGGCTTTGTTGGGCAACACTATAAAGCCTAGAACTAGACGCTAATCCAGACAATTGAAAAACTTCCTGGATGGGAAGTGAAATGACTTTAAATTTGGAAAACAAAGTCCAGTTGTTTGCTTTTTAACTCTTTTGGAATGACTATGACTTGGATGACTGAGAATCTTCACCAGCAAACAAAACCGAGGCTTTGGTCAAAGGCTCCTCTAGATATCAACATCTATAATAAACGCTTAAGTTTCTACAACATCTAATTTCCTTTTGGGATCAATAAGCTTTCTTTGAAGTTAATTAAATCAATCTACTTTGTAAGGAAAACCCCTTTAATTAGTTACTCTTTAACTAGCAGATATTGATTTGTAAATAGCAAAACAGCTTTAGCTGCTTTCAAATGTTTTTGTCCATGCATCCTTTCCTTGATGTGTTCAATACATTTTTCCATTTTCTTATACAAAAATCCTCACACAAGAATTCATTTTGAAATAATTTGCTGGTCATAAACTTTTACCATTGTGCACCACCTGTGTCTCAATGTGACAGTGGAAATGGGAACTGAAAGGCACAGGAGAGGAGGGACTTTGGACAGGTGGCGAGTACAGCTCAGGGGATTGTGACATGCAATTTACCAGACTCGATTTATGCTACAAGAGTCCACAAAGGGCTAGACACAATGCCAACCTGCACTACAATGTTTTTACCAATGCAGGAAGATTAGATCTAAGTCATACAGACTTTACAGTTTCTTTCCCAAAGCTCTTACTGTAATTACCCCCCTGTGGTCAGACACACACTTTCTCAATTTGCCTATATGTAGTGGGAACTTCTATTTAGGCCAATTTGGTGTTTTGGGTTTCTGTCATTTTCAATCCTCTAAACACCCTAACCTGACATAATCCAGACTCCAGCACATACCTCATCCCAACCTTCACCTAAAAAACAATCCACACCACTTCCTAACCATTAGCAATAAAGGATGCAAGACCCGAAAAAATATCCTTGCTTTGATACAAACTGTCAATTTGATGGTCATCAAATGATCCTCACTCTGATACCAAACCAAGAGCACACATACACACCCCAGAGCCACAAAGAGACAAAAACAAACACGCCTCCTGATTATCAAATAATCCACCAGTCCATTTCATGGGCCATTATGGCGCACGTCAGTGGTTGCACTTTAGGTAAATATGTTACATTTACATAATCTTCTTCCAATGGTGTTTATATCTTCAAAAATGTGTTTACTTTTTCTTTAAAGTGTTAAATATTTTGTGCTATTTATCTTTGATGTTTTATATGATGCTTGTTATGTTTTTAATTTCTGTATTCTATATCTCTCCTCTGATAGGTGACTTATTAAAGCTTCATCATGGTTTTATGTATCTGAAAACACCTAACTTTTTA